ACTGAGCTAACCGGGCGCCCAACAGATGTTCTTTTCACTACAACAGCATCCACTACAATCCAAACAGAGCACTTTAAAACCCTCTGTGGTACATAATAACTTCCCTGTTCTTTTTTAACAAATTTCATCTCATTTTGACTCCCAGTTTTATTTGAACAGCTTATTGTACTTCACAAACAGGACCTTTTTTTTTTTTTTTNNTTTTTTTTTTTTGCTTTGCTTTTTAGATCCATTTTCTTCTTTCGTATTTTCCAACTTTGATTGAAAGGACAGACACACTTATCTCCCTTGCAACAAGTTGGCGATTCATTTGGATTTGAAGAGAATAATGTTCTAACGCCATAAAAATCAAACAGTGTGCATTTGTTTGCCAGACAGCAAGTGAGAAAAGTTATGCTGCAGGAAAATGTCTCTTCCCTGCAACAGTGGAAAAGATAAAGACTTTTCAGCTACTTCGGTATCTTTTTGCCCTCAGGGTGATGCTCTTTTTTTCCACCTACCTGTCTGGGTAAAAAAGCAGTTTTGCAAGGTGATATCATACTTGCTATCAGTTCTGGAAAATTATATGTCACTCTAACTTGCCCCGATATGTTTCTATGGAGAAGACTGTGAAGAAGTACGAGTACCCCGGCTAGTGACACTGCAGTTAAATGCTCCTCCTGTACTCAGGAGGTTCTGTGTTCTCTTGAAGGGAGACAAGTCCTATACAGATGAGAGGTTGTTTCTTCCTTTACAGTGACAATGTCTGCAGGATGAGATGCTAGTGGTGGCTTCTTTTAATTGGCTGAATATGAAGACACTGGGTGTGTGTATTTGTGTTTGATTGGTGGGATATCATCGCAGTGCAGTCTGCTCATGGTTGCACTTGAACTAAAACATCTTCACTTAGTCCACAGACACATGTGCGGTAATTGACATTTAGTGTGTTTCTTGCAGTTTTGCAGCCGGGGTTAATCCTAGGGCACAGAGTCAGAGCATGTCAGAAAAGCTGTTGTCACTTGTCCAATACTGATATAGTGGCAATACAACAGTTCAAAGGTCAGTAATAGACTGGGGGAATAATTAAGGGTTGTGCCACAAAACTCTAGTTTTAAAATGTCCTCAGACAAGTTGCCTTGTGCCTTCAGCTTATGAGCAGAGACCCAGCAAAAAACGAACAAAATCATTATGGAAAATCGAGGTCCTTTCTTAAAATACTCTAGCTAGCTGTTTCAACAAGTTCCATCCGTCATTCCATTTTCTTTGTGCCTTTTTTTTTTTTTTTTTCTTCTGTCTCCTGTCTCTGTGTCTACAGCTCTCAGGACTCCATGAGCTAACAGACGATAAAGAAACATTCTGGATGGGAATTCTGATGGCGCTGACCACTGACTCTGTCTGTCCGGATGTTTCCTTGGAAAGCAATGTGAGAGGCTTTATCTATCAAGTGCAGGCATGTGTTTTCGTCTGATATTGGGAGGGTTAGGGCTGCTTTAAATGTTCAATTAACATTAAAATGTGCCTATGACATAATGCCAAGCACAAAGAAGCAGAACACAAAAGCGCCCAAATTGCTCTGGGAATTACAGCTCCAAAAAAAAGACTCTAGTCTAATTTTGTCTTAATGTTTGTGTTGGGTGAGACTGCTTACTATTCGGTTTAGGCTGTATTGATTATTGGGGTAATCACAGTCTGAGGCTATATGAGAAAGGAACAAATATGAAGACATTTTAAAATCAGCTTTGTTTATGAGCATTGTTTTCTTCCTTCTTGTGTGCAATGGCAGATACCAGTTAGATGCAGAATGCAATCTCCTCTGCTTTCACTGCAATCCCAAAATCACTTCATCTGTACGAGATTGAAAAAAGGGGAAACACCAGGCCTCCTCCTTTCTCAAGTTTACTTCTAATGGTATAGTAATAACTTCCCAGTTCCCCAAAGTTATTACATTCTTTATTTTCTTTGCAATAGCAAAAGCACCCAATGAGATGAAAAAATGTAAGCTCTCCCTTCATTCTCAGTGATGTGTTTGTCAGCTCTAAGACAAGTGATAAAATTATGACTGTGTTTTCACGATGGTATTAGAAAGACGACATCGATGTGCATTGATGGCTACATCCAAGGACTATGATTGGTCCCTGATGGATTGGCAGAACATATGAAAACCGGCTCAGGTTTCTAGCTGACCAGCTGTTTTGGTTGTGAAGCACTCAAATTGACTGGCAAGCCTGATAGGACAATAAATCAATCTAAACTGAAAATAACTTATTTATTTATTTATACTTATTACCAGTTAATACACACATGTACATTTACATATTTAATCCCATGCTTTGTTGTCATTGTTTTTAGCTGCTGTGTCTTCCTGTGTAAGTACACAAGTCACAAATTCTTTGTGTTTGTACCCATGCTTGGCCAATGAAGCTAATTCTGATTCTTATTATTTTCATTACTAGTCAAACAAGCACCTGTGCATGCAGCAGTATGTAAAACTTGCAATGAGATTCCATTAAATCAAGAATTGTGTATATTTTATTTACTGGTGTTGGCATTTTTATGAGTTAATAATTTTCATCCCATGACACCTGTATCTTGTTCTCAGATGATACATTTTGTTTACAAAAAAAACCTCTTACATCCATTTAAGTGCTGTTCCACTACCGTGCATTATTTTCCTTGTCTTTCTCAAAGCTAAAAGCCACAACACTCTGCTGCTGAAAAGGTGCCAAAAAGCTTTGGTAGCTAATGATGCACAGCAGTGTGAGGTTGTCTATCACCCCTTATCACCCCTGGTGGGAGTCGGAAAATGTTGGACAGCTAATTCAACTTGTACAGTCTCCATCACTGGCAGACGCTGGGTGTAGACAAGGCTTGCCAATCACAAGAGCAATTTTAACTTTCTTGTTTTAAAAACCGGGCCATAAATTGTTCAAACAAATGCAAGTGTTCTCCTTTAGAGCAATTTTAGTTGCCCCTCAGCTATGTTTCTGTTATTGCTTCCTTAGTTTTTCAAGTCATATAAGAAGGAGAAGTACATGGCTGCTACTGTAACTGTGAAAGGTAATAAAGAGGAGTTTTAATTATTTGTTTATGACTTTGCTGTTTTGCATTGGTGTTATCTTGATGGCACGTTTCTTCACGGCTTTGTTTTGACATTTAGGAGCCACATGTCTTGCACAGACTGAACATCAAAGTCAAAACAAGCCTATAAAACCACTAATTTTAGCTCAAATTGTACCTGGTGGAGTTAATTATACATACTTCAGTTTCAGCAACTTTGAGAAATTTTGGCAAGGTGAAAAAGTCACTAGAAAATAATATCATACTCTTCCCAGCAATATGAAGATGTACAGCCCCAATGGCTGATAAGGTCAATTTGAACGAGAATGCAATGTACCTGCTTCTACAGCCTTCACAGTGATATTGTGCCAGCCTGCGGTCTCCCGGTCCAAAATCTTGCCCAGTGTGATAGCGCCTGAATCAGGATCAATATGGAAGATCATCTCCTGGTCTGTGGTCCGATCGATGGAAAACCTGTAACAACAAATATGAAGAAAAGAGATATAGATGTTAAGAAGAGAAGCAGTAAATGAGAGGAGGCAGAGAGAGTCAATAATCCAGGAATTTCAATTTCTTGAAGTAATTTAATTAAGAACTTAACAAGGACTTGGAGAGTTGACTTTGGGCTACACTGAATATTAAGAACTTATACAGATGAGGGTTAAAGTAATTATATTTAAAAGCATTTACTGGAGACTTGTCACAGGTCCTGTGACCCTTATAGTGCTGTGTCCCTTAACTGCAAGGGGCTATACAATAAATGTGTCCTTGCCTATTCAGAGTAAGAAAATAAACATTAAATTTTCATTGTGCACTCTAGAAAAACCACAAATGCATCTTTCCTTCTTTGGGGTACTTGGTGCTCTGAAAGGATTGGTGAGTCAACAAAAATCTGCTGAAAGTTTTCTTTGTTCTTAGTGCCTTTCCCCCACCACACATACAGCTGGCTGACTTACTCATGCCCACATAAACCATGATAAAGTACCATGGGCATTAGACACTCTTCAGACTTCTCTGACAAACATGCCAGCCAGCATTCTCCCAGGTCTCATGAGAATAGTGGTCACATGTATGTAAATATAAAACATAATGTCAAGAGACCCGTATGCTAAACTCATGGGGTAGAGAGAACAGCACATGGATTTAAATAGGTTTCTGATCACACATTCAAAAAGTGTGGGTGTAGATTTCCATTTCCATTTGTATTTAATTCATGTCAATAAATTAAAGTGATAATTAACTCTTTATTAGTCCTGGTGTAACTACATTTGGATAGAATGACCTAAAGATAACTTGTGATTGAAATGAGATTTTGCCTCAGTTTCATCTAAAATGGCACTATGGCAATGAAAGGATACATTTTTAAGACACTGAATTAATGTTTTCATGTATCCATCACTGTTGCATCTTAAATTAACATGCATCCCATTTAAGAGGGTGATTAGATTTGGCTGGATTATATATACACCTACCACTGACATTTGTCTCCAGTATAAACAGTAAAATTAGATTTTACCCAACCTCAAATTGTGCTGCACAATATTTCATTTTATCTTTCTTTTTTTATAGAAATTGCAGTCAGATGACAGATTTGACAGCAGTACAGTATAAAACAACTAATAACAATAATAATAAAAAAACAACCAACATCTTAATTGTTTTTGTGCATCCTTGCCTCCCCACATGCCTACCATGATTATTTTTCAAAAGAAAACAAAAACTGAACCTCTGGTTTCAGTTTTCGTGGGATGGGAGTCGGGGAACATCATCATTATGTTTTTAGTTTTTTAACAATCCCTTTCTACATAAACACTGAGGCTCACACCTTCAGAATAAAAAAAGCTTTCTTTCAAACATAATCCATCTGCATCACAAAACACAAAATTGGCTGATGCACACATGGTATTCCCTACCCCCGTCATATAGGCAAAACAGTATTTATGTCCTTTTAACTAGACAATTGTTTTATCTAACCTGTTTTGTATCAGAGCACATTTTGACAAGTGTGTCTAGTTTGACAGGTGTTTGACAACCTGGTTGATTCCTTGTTTGTCAGACTTTCTTTGGTTTAAGTGTTGCATGAGGAGTGGTTCCATTTGCAGATTGTTTTAATTGTGGCAGAATTAATCTTTCACCAACACAACATGGTATTGATGATGAAATCCACAATGAATGCATATTTTGCACTGAAACATCATCACTTAGGGTGCATGATTATGCTGAGTTCTGAGCGGGTGTGTTGCCTAATGCCAGAGGCCATGAGCTCACTAACTTTGCCCAGTAGGTGGCTCCTGGCTAACCTTTCTCCCTCCCTTTCACACACTCATTCACCCATTTACTTACTCAAACACATGCACACACATAACCACACACACTCATATATGCTTGCACACGTAGCACACACTTTCAGCTCCAAGACACTGGTGAACGACAGCGCTGCCATTGTGTTGCACTTTATTACACCTGGAACTCTGAGCCTCATGCATTTTTAATCGAGGTAATTTGCACAGGCACCGCGTGTGTCGGTGTATGCTCCATCAGTGAGACTGTCTTAGCCCTTATCTACATTCCCCTTTCACACTGCAATTGTTCTTCTGAGGACATATAAACCACAGACTTTGGTACATAAGATTACCAGATAATATTGTTTTTATCACACACAGTTATCAGAGAGAAAAAAAGAGACATACAGTACAGCTCCATCCATTGTACAAGTCTCAACATTTACTATTTGCTTGGACTTTCAGTCCATCTTTAAGAGGAATTGTTTAAAAAGAGATTTTCTCATAAGCCCATCAGCTACCAATGTATGTACTTGCAGCTAGTGAGTTATAGTTCTTTAAAGTTATATTTATTTTTCATGGTAGAAATTTAGTTCTAATAAAAAAGTATCTACAGTGGTAAAGTAATATACAGTAGATACATGATTGTGGGCTTGAGGAATGGCTGCCCATGTTTCAGTGCTTCAGTGTTCCGTTCAAGCCACATAAAAATAAGGTACTCATTTGCCATGGAAAAGGCTGCTTCATAATGCTGTTATTCATATTTAGCAGTAACCTTTCTACAGTGATATTTTATTACCAATGTTTGGTTGATATATTTTATCAGGCTGTTATGAAAAGCAGTTGTGTACCTACAGTATCTATCTTACTGTAGCTCAACATTTTTATTCATTTATATGCCACATTTCAACACAGCCAAATGATTTTCATTTATAGCGAATCTCATATCATTACCAAAACAAATCACACTATACACCAGTACAACCTCAGTACTATTGGCTCAGAATCAATTCTTTCCTTTAAAGCCCCACTTCCCTCTACATATTATATTTTAACTAGTAATTGGGATTATAAAAACCATCAGACCTAAGTAAACTTCACTTTATGCTACGGTTTACATGTAACTCATGTGAGTAAAAGTTAGCCATAACCTTTTTTTCTGACACAATATGTAGCTTAGGTCTGATATACATTCTGCCATTTTCAACAGTACAACGCATTTTTCTTTTACATGAAGTTGGCATTTGATCCCTTGCCGTACCTGACAGGTTTATTCTTCACATCTGGATCTCTGGCAGTGACAATGCCAACCAGCGCTCCAACTTTGGCATCCTCCTGCACTTCCATGATTGCGCCCTCTGCTGGTTGAAAAATGGGTGGCTCATCTATGTCTGACACACTGACTTGGACAATGGTCTGGTCTCGGAAGGAAACCAGGTCCTCGAAGCGAGGGTCAACATGCTTATTTACTGCCTCCACCACGACACTGTGTGTGCGCTTGGTCTCAAAGTCCAAGGGCTGAAAGAAAAACAAGATTCTGTTCAAAAACTGTTTCATTCCACAATAAGCTATGTATGGCTAGAAGCTGTATTGCAACAATGCTAATGAATGAGAAAAGACTATTGCAGTATCGATTCCACCCATTAGTGGCAGCACTGAGCCAATGCATCAGTGTACATCATCTTGTTTCGAGTTGATGGTTATTGTTGTGTCTGCAGCACCAGCTTACCACTAGGTCGTCATCAGTGGTAGCTAGGATGATATAGACTGCCACACTGTTGACAGTATATTGAACCATAACAACTGCTTCTGGCTTAATATCACATGTTTATACTGCCATCAGGCCCTATTCACAACAGCAATGTGTCACTTTTTACATCTGTATCTTAAGTGAAAAGATGCTACTGCATTCTGCATTCGATTTAGTTTTTGTCAGCGCAAGGTGAAAGGCCACTGACAGCACTTGTCAAACCCCAAGGGGAATGATGATCATTTGTCTTTCTCCAACTCTTCAGCATACTTTGAGTTTCTCTGTCTGAACAGGGCATAAGAACTGTTACCCTTACTGACTATAAAGACTTAACTGCTAGGCGCAAACACTTTTAACTTAAGCAAAATAACTGTTTTTGTTGAATGTTAACAGCAAGGCCCAGTCACTTTTCTAGCAAACAAAATTCCAATCACTTTTCATGGGATTTTGCCAAAGGTGAAAGAAACTGGTCTGCCTGACAAGGAAGCTTGAAATATTCTTTTAAGAAAAAACAACAACAAATGCTTCCCGGAAATGTGACATACACATACACACTTACCTGGTTATGGTGGCCACTATGAAGTAGCCAGCTCTTGATTTTTATTCAAAATAAGGATGCATACAAAATTGTCCTTTTACAAAAGTAGAAAATGACTCTTAGCTAGCTCATTAAGCTGGTTGGTGTCATGCTGTCAAGGAAAGAGAGACTGAATGACCAAACAATGGGCCCCGTGCATCCACTCGTATGAACATATTTGTTCATACGAGTTCTGAGGTGCCACACTCGTACGAGCCCGCCATAAAAAGAAAGTAAGAGAAAGTTAAGATAAGAATAGTAAATGTTCTGAGGCTCATTGTGTTTGCACTGAAAAGTGGGTACTTAAGAGTTTTTAAAGCCAAAATGTATTTGTATGATTTTATTGCCTTTATACTTGTAAAACTAAATATTGGCATAACAAACAACAACAGCAAAGCAGTATACCTTTAAGTTGACTATACCTTCTTGATGGAGACAACAGCTTCCTGAGTCTCAACATCGGTAGTGACCTTGAAGAGGTCCCCTCCCTCTTTGATCAAGTAGCTCATGTCTGTGTTCTCTCCCATGTCTGCATCCGTGGCAATGACGCGTCCAACTGGTGTCCCCACAGCCACCCCCTCTGACACCGAAAAATGGTACATCTCTGGTATATGGAGTAGGTGGCCGGAGGTGGAAATCATATGGGCGAATAAAACAAGAAGAGTTAGGCTTAGCAAAGCAACAGTGGGATGCAGTGACAAGTATAGAAAACACCACAAAAGAAGTAAGATGAGAGACAAAGGTAACATGGAGAAGAAGGATGAGGAAAGATGAAGGCTGTAGGTGGAAAAAGGTGGGTGGGAAGTAAGGATATTGGTAGAAGAGATGGATAGGGAGCAGAAACAGAAAAGTGGGAGGAGGAAGGGATGAGAGAGTAACAAAGATAAAGAGGGTAAAGAGGAAGAGACAGGTAATGGAGAAAAACAAAGCTGTTTTGTTAGCACCATATTAACGGTTGACACTAGCCCTACTTATTAGAATTCACATTGGATTTAAATTATATCGCTGTTACAATATATTGCAGATAGATAAATATAATACAATATTTAACTGTAACTGCATTTAATTAAAATTATTAAAAATAATAATATCACTAAAGCATGTATTATATTAAGTAACTGGTGTGCATGATCATAACTTTTACTTGTGTTGACACCTTGTCAATCCGAGTGTTTCAAATGTCAGAACAGAATGAAAAAGATAAAAAAAACAATAAGGAGACAAAACTGTATTGTTCCCAACAGGGAACTTATGAGGAAACATCAAAGTCTTTACATATACAGTATATCATCTTCCTTTGCGTCTTATTTATGAAGCTGCTTTCCAAATCTATTCCTCACACTATACACTAGACACAGCATTCCTGCAGGGTTTATCCCTCTGACTGGGTAAATATGATTTACTGAGATTAAAAAAAAAAGGATTTATACAGAAATAAGAAAAGGTGTGTGGAGACATATCACATACAATCAACCGGACTGTCAGATGATATTCCTTGAGCTGTAACAAAAGTAATAGTGTTATAGTTTATCGCCAAAAAAGAGGACGAAATAAGAAGCTGAAATGAAAGCAAGGAGGGGAAGTACTTTTTTATTCATACAACTAATTATTATTCAGTAAGGAGTAGAATTTAGCATGTTCATATATCTGAAGAACATCACATTATAGGTGCTATAGTGAAATACAACTTTTAAAAGGTGTGAAACTGTAAGTACAATCACTTTTTATTGTGCTACATATACTTGTTGATGCAGTATGCAAACAAATAATTTTCGCTATTTGTTTTAAAGAAGCCTGCTGTATTTTTCAACTGAATTAACACAGATTGCATTTTGAGCTGAATGTATTAACTCTTCCTGTTGTGCAGATGTGAAGTGAAAACCGTTAAGCCCAAAATCCACCTCACCATCATAAATCCATAACATTACAATGAGGGAACAATCAGGCGTATTGATTCAGTCCTCTCATGAGCCTCACTTAAATAGAATGATCAAAAGTGCAGCGGAACGCATCAATTCACCATATTTGATAGACTACTTTGTTATGGGCTGAAGCTTTGATAGGCCAATAAATTTAGGTTAGATGATTTTCTTGGACTACATGCAGGCCATTCAGTATGGTTGCTGATGCCGTCATTGCTTATTGGTGTCAGCGGCCTGCAGGTTGCAAACTCTATTGTGTGTCTTTTATAATCTTCTCAGTTATTCTGTCTCAGCTTTCACTTTCCTCATTATTTTTCCTCCCTCTCTTAATTCTCATCTTTGTCTTTTACAGTCTCAGTCATTTCTGACTCTTTTTTTCTACACTGTTTCCTCCCTCTACTCCTGTGTCTGTCTCATTTCTTTCTCTGTCTAAAGTAAGATAATGCGCAGGAGACACTCACTCTGTGGGAAGCGCGGTGGGTTGTCATTAACATCTGTGATCACTATGGTCACCGTGGTGGAGCCGGAGAGACCGCCCATTTGTCCTGCCATGTCTGTTGCCTTGACAACCAACTCGTAACGATCCTGTGTCTCACGGTCCAAATCCGCCACTGCTGTCATGATGGTCCCTAATGATTGAGGGATGGAGGAGAGATTGAAGGGGAAAGACAGAGGGATGAAGAGAGAGAGAGTGGGGAAGACAAGGCATAGTATGTGAGGCCAATGCAAAGGTTACATTAGTGGTTAGCACTTATGCAATAACCAACTATATTTCCCCTCTCAGCTTGAATATCACCTTCTGCTAAGCACTGTATTATGGAGACACAAGTGCAGCACATTTCATTTCACCTCCCCAGACTGGCTGGATGGAAGAGATTGTGTCATATTTGTGCCTCTGCACATATGCCATTTTATGGCTCAGCTGTATTAAAATGAATAATATATAGGGGCAGAATGAAGGCATGCTTCAGCCACCCTGAACAGCATTACAACTTTTCCATGGTGGCTAGGACTGCAATCAAACCTGAGAAGTGGATTTCCAAAGAGCAAGTGAGGGACATAGAGAAAGTGATATAAAGTAGAGAATGAATTAGAAGGCACACAAAAGCCTTCAATGCTCTGGGGTCTATGTTCAGATGCTTTTTAACCGTCAGTGATCAGTTAAAAACACTGAAAACACATTCACTGAGTTAAGCCATGCTAGTCCTCCAATTTAAGGAAGTGCATTATAAAAGTTAAACTCCCTAATTTCAACTAGTAGAACATCAAAGAAGTGACAAAACATTGTGGTAACCAAGACAAACATTTATGGAAACACATGGTCATCTTACTATGACCAAATGCAGACATCTTAATCAAAAAGTTTAGGTTAGATGTGATGTCTGGTTCATCGTGTCTTATCATTGTTGGGGTAGACATACATGACATTCTATTTGTGAAGTTACATAACTATGTTTGGTTGCTCAAAGAGCTAGTACTGTGGTCTTTCTTTTTAGTCTACATGAGTCGCTCACATGCTCACAAAGTAGCACATGGTCCTTCTTGGCACATCTCTTCCACATTGGCCCAGCAGCAGCAGAATCAGTAGCTGGCTGGTTTGCTGTGCAGTAGTAATATAATTCCACTTTACCCCTTGGGATTTTCCCCATCAGAATCTATTGATGCATTTCCTGGGCTTGGTGTGCTATCTCACTCCCAAAGGTTTGCATTGTGTTGGGTACACAACTCACTGATTCCAGTCACATTTAGCCCTGGGCCATGTTCTGTGAGTAGCCAAAATACAGTACATGCAGCACTGGAGTTAAGGAGGTAGGCACATGACATGCTCCTCTTTCATAAACCAAAGGCCAGAGGGGATGCATCTAAATCAGGGCTGTCAAAAGTAAAGCCCCAATCCACAACTAGTATACAGCACCACTGCTCCAACATCATGGTAGATATATGTAGATGAGTCTACATGGACTGTATTCATGAATGCAGTGTGTATGTGGTCCATATATAAATGCATGTCACGTAGCCTTAACATTAACCAATTTAACCGAGTAATAGGGCCATGTACAGCAACTGTGAAATAGTGCCTCGGCATGGTAATGCATTACATTAATGTGAAATAAATGATGCTGTTACGATTACTCACTGATGTTACTCACATCAATTGCATTTCTGTTTTTATTTCCCTAGACATTGGTAATCTAATTTTGCTGAGTACCTATGAAACTAGCCTCCTTGCCATTTGGGCATTATGGCTACCATGATAATTGAAAAGAAGTAGTTTTGCCAGACTAAGTTGTCAGCTTTCCTTTTGAGCCTGTCACTGTAATTTCCTTTGCTGCTGTGTGAGCCCTGTTAGCAACCAATGATCTGTACATATTTCTGCTCTCTTTCATGGGAAGTGCCATTGCACTCTTACAGAGTGAGCCACGTGGACATATCTCCAGCTAGCACGTAGAACAGCCACTCTTGAAGTGGATAAAAGCAGAAAGAGGCACATATGTCTTTGTCTACACTTTCAGCAGTTGCATTCATGTATAGAACCATTTTTTTTGTACTTGGTTCCTTTTTCTTTTTGCCTTGAAATATAGAAGCGTCCTAGTTGCCAGTGTGCTTTGGAAGGAGGGAGAAAGGTAGGTGATTAGCTTAGTGTGACCGCAGTCTAGAGCGCCTTCCCATCTTGAGAAGCACAATGCAAGAACACATATACTAGCAAAATATACATATACTGGCATTAAGAGGCCCTATGGCAGACCATCCCCATACTATGGTATGCTGCACAGCATATAGTATGTCATCAATGGATGTCTCTTTTTATTATTTTGGAATATATAATTCTTCTTCAGATTTTTTTTTTATTCTGTGAGTAAAATATTGTCTGTATTCCTTGATTTATATAGAATAACCATAGTTAAAGGGCAAACTAGGACATGTAAATGTGTTTAGTAGGGTTTTTGCAGTTTCCTATTTAAAAATAACATCCTGATTTACTTTATATACAGTGTATAGTTCAGTCCTTGTAAAATCACTCCTTTGACTCAGATACTCAAAAACACCTACAGACAATTCCACAATGGCCAAAGCGACAAAAAGAAACACAGACTTGCTGTTCAGTTTGTTGTCAGGGTGAGTGAGAGTGATATTAATGAGGCAGATTTCACAGCTGTTCTGTCTCCTCTTCATTTTGACCTTCTTGACTCATACCTATTAGGCTGGCCTGTCTGCCTACAAAATGGGTAAAGGGGGTGGATGGAATGGGGGTCGTGAGACAGAAGCTGGAATGAACCATCCAGTCTCCTGGCTAGTACCACTGATGCAGAGCCATTTATCATCCACCCTCCCAGGCTGACCAAATCAAAGTGGTGGAGACCAAAAAAGGAATCATTAAAACTTTAGTGCTTTTCCCTGGAGGGGCATTCAAAGGCAACACCAATGCTAAGCTACTCCTGAAAGACTCTGGGTCAGGTAATATCACTCCTATAAGACCCACAGCAGTTGGGGAATAGAGAATGTTCTATCATATAGCTGGAGGAGATTCTTCTGAAGGGTAAATCTGTATGTGATGGAAATATAACCCAGGACTGATATAATAGTGATTACTTACAGATCCTTAGCACTAGTGGGTAAAGAACATTGTTAGGCTTTATCGTGCTAAATACCCAGTGCAAGTCTAACAATAACAATAGAGCCCCCGAGGTGACATGAGAAAAAAAAAAAAATGTGATGAAGATCCTCGGCCTTTGAAACTCGAGATCTCCGAGTTTCTTTGGCGAGCTCTCCGCAAAATCCGACCAATGTCTGCTGGCTGGCCATCCGCTCGGGCGCATTTCCTCCAGTGGCGGTGCGCCGCTGACGGCTCTAGATCGACCTTGAAAGGCTCGGGCGAAGCCTGGCTCGCGGCCTTCAGACTGCTGAGCCTTACACACGTGCCCCGATTTGCGAGAGCAATAAAACGTACAATAAAACCAAAACAATTAGGAAAAAATAAAATTAATAATTAACAATAATGAGATTTTTTGTCGCATTGAATTTCCAAGTAATATGTGCTATGTTTATTTTAGATTTATATATTTTCTTAAAATATATGCTTGAAGGTGCAATCCACACTGTGTTGAGCCAAACAATGTATGGTAGTTTGAGTGTTTGCAAAAAGGAGCCGGTAGTGTTGGCTAAAACTTAAGCTGCTTGTTTTTGGCCAATTGATTTGATGTTTGTGAGTACACATTTTAATCTCTCTCTCTGAGCTTTAGATTACTTGAGGTAGAAAAAAGGAGCACAAGAAAATCTGGTCATTCTTACCTGTTTTTCTGTCAACAGTGAAAAACTTTTCTCCATCGAGTACGCTGTACACCACTCTGGCACTGCTGCCGTATGTAGGGTCGTCAGCATCTGATGCAGTCACGTTCATAACAGCCGTTCCTGTTGAGAGAGAGAGACAACATGATAACAATGTAAAAAACAAGAAAAAAAAAACTTCAGAGCCAGGAGACCACTGGGGAAACTTTAGACAAGTACTGTTAAATTAGTGTCTACTGTATGGGAAGGAGGTGGTGTAGAAATGTGGGTGTTTTCTTTGTGGGTGTGCAACTCTGGTCCTTTTTTTCACTCTTTGTCAGGACCATTATGAGGATCATTTTGTATTGCGTTAATAAAAAAGTGAGACATACTGGCCTGTCCTCAATCACTGTTAGGGTTAGGGTTAGGCACATAGTTGTGATGTTAAGGTTAACGTTGTGGGTTAGGGAATGCATCACATCAATAAGAGGGACTCACAAGTATAGCAACAGTAATGCGTGTGTGAGTTTGTGCACACACCTGTGTGTGTATTCATACGTACTTGTCTGTGATTATACTTGGGATAGGGAGGTTAATGCATTTGGGTACCACTGCACCAGGTAGCTATTTCATCTCTATGCACATCATTTTCCAAACAAATTTTTGATGTTTCAAATTACCTTTTTACTACACCAATGCTCAGAGCTGTTTTGCCTCATTGCTACAGAAGTTGCGCGCAGAGATGAAAGAAAACATGGAGTTATAAAGTCAACATTATAGCTTCAAAGACTGTTAGAAGCTCAAGAAATCTACAACAAACAATTACTCATGATTACCGGCACTTAGGCAGAGAATACAATGATTTCCACTTGAAGATTTAAAATTTGGATTTATACAGCAACAATGTTTAAGTCGTTATTTCCCACTCAGTGTAATATATTTGTCAAAAGTGTGCATACTTAAGCTTGTGGTGGAAAATACTCTGGTGCATCTCTCAATTTAATGACACATTTTAATTAAAGCTCAGCCCAAATTCTATAAACTTTAAGGTCCTTAATTTTAAGGCAAAGAAACAACCATATATTTATGTTTTAGCATGTGAGCACATTTCTTTTTCTTTGTATAAATAATTTCACTTACTGCTAAAGGAAAATAAAAAGGGAGACGTTCCTGGGAGCCATAGGTGCTCAAGGACAAGGAGTCAGTCTTTGTCTCCATCCCTTTGGCGAATGCTATGGGTAATTACTGACAGCTGGTGTTGTCCACCAAAGGTCATCGCTGTAGCCTTTCTCAGAGCTCTGTCATGCTACCGTCCAGCCACATAATGGCCGTATGCTAATGATGCTAATTAGCGGGAAGTGTCAGAGCACTGTTTGTTTCCTGTCATCCAACAGAGGTCCTAAGGGGGGAAAGAGGGAGGGAGAGGCAAGTGGATTATCATTAAAGTCACCCGGTCATTAAATCAGACAGTTCAGATCACTATCCTGTTGCCATCACCTATAGCACTTTTTGTTCTCCCCGTATGTAGATATGAGCTGGCCAGTTTGAATGCTAACATATAGTTATGATGCAGTACTCTACGTGGTCTATGATACTAGTGAAACAAATGAGGGTGTGAAATTGGTGTGAAAAACGACGACACACAAAAATGGATTAACAGATGAATGGATAACTGTCTTTCCAGTATGTGCAACACCAAAGAATCATGAATTCTGGTGCTGTCAACAACCTTATGTGGTTCTCAGTTAAATCCGGATATATTGCAGCTCCCATCAGATTCAAAGCAGTACATATTAACTAGGATGGAATGAGCTTTTAATTCATATTCTGAGTCTTATGATACACTCATTACCTCATCCAAATATGCAAAAGTACACACCAGCCTGATCCTCAGAAGATCAAGATATACTGCATCCCAGTAGGGGGATGAGTGAGATATCATTCCTATCGTATTAAAAACATAGAATATAAAGAGGCTAGGCATTTTCATTACTGGCAACAGGAAGGGGTCTGTTAATTCTGCCTACCTGGTTGGCCCTACTGCTGTGGGTCCAACAAAGCCATTTTCATCCATGGGATTACTCCCTTATCTTAATTTTCCCCAGGTAACAATCAGTTTGAAGCTCAGCTGTTTCTGGGTAGTGCCTGGCAGCAGCGTCAGATGATTTGGAAGAACTATATAAATGCAAATACTTCTTTATTGTGTTTATATTATAAAGAGAAGCGAAGCAGTGAGTTTGGCACTTGGATTCTTATTAAAGCTCTGGCTTGCATCAGTGTTTTCAGTGGGAAAAGTCATTACTTACAGTATCTGTTGGCATGGTTGGCGTCGCACTTAAGCAGATTCTACTGTTGATGGACTTGTGGGAATTCAATAAAAATTATTGACTTTCTAAGATTCGAATGTAATGCATATTGCCGTAATAGGAGAAGTATGTCTAATGGGGAGAAGCTTCAGATATTCATTAGCTAAAGAGTTGTTTTTCTCTCACCAACTAAAACTTCAATCACAAATTGCTCTCAGATGAGACAGCATGCACTGTAGCAATAATAATTTTGATTACCAAAATATACAGGTTTGTATCTCTTTATTCCCCCTCGTGGGCACATTTGTTTGGGCTGAGTTTGTTTGGATATACAACACAACTTTCTACAAAATATTCTTCACATATCCATGCAATAACACAACTGATGGAATTGACACAGTCAATTATACCTTTCTTATTACTTTTTTTTTTACTTGAGCAGTAGCTTAACACTTGAAGAGAAAAAAAAGATTTTGCTACCACTATTGCTGCTTTAGTGTAGTAGGGTGTGCATTTACTATAGTGCACCCTGACATTACTGCTGGGTGTTCTTCCAGGTGAAATAGAGCTGACACATTTCTGACCACACCCAATCACAAGAGGTCAAAAGTACAACTGTCAAGCAGAAAAGGTCAATGAAGCAATAATTTTCAGCTTGCTTAAGTAAATCTTTAAACATATGCAACCTCCATAATTTTGTCAGAAGTCAGAGCCAACTTGTCACAGTGAACAAATATCCACCTTACTCACTCATGCCTTCACTACCTCTACTTTGGATTAAGCTGTAGCCTGCAGATATTTACATTGTTGGTCTCACCATCAACCATCCATAGAGAAGTCAGCATTTGCTAATTATCTTATGCTAATTTTCAAATGTAATAAAATAGATTTTTTGTATAATAATGACATGATGTGAAAGCGTTTAGCATTTACTAAAGCATTCATAAGAGCTTGAACACTATTTAGCAGTGTATCTCCCAATGACTTGCCTCAGCACAGAGGACTAGACACGGTTACAACAACTATAAGCATATGGCTTTGTTATTCATTTAATCGTAGCAGAGAAAAATAAAACATAATTAAGGTTGAAAGGCAGCTATTTATTTAGCATTATTTACAACTTCTATTAAGTTATTATTATTTCTACAATGATATCATTACAATATGATAAACTGTGTTAAGGCACTGAAAATCCCACTAGGTACTTGAAATATTAACAGCCAATTAAAAAAGTAAATTACCTCAGTTACAATAATTATTGTTAGTTTAGAATTATTATCTTTTAGTCTGTTTCTTACTGGAACACATGACACCTCTTGCAATGCTGTAACATTGTCATGGTGGGAAGAACCTGACAGAAGCAACAGTCATTCCAGAATAATAACATAGTAATACAGTCTGTGTTGCAAATGATATTCAAGTGTACTATATCCCTTGTGGGATAATGTAAATAATATTTAGATTAAATCTAACCCTGGGACCATCTCTGGTGAAATGGAGTAAGGAGTAGGGTTGCTTTTGGGGGTGTTGAGGCTTCGGTGGAGGGTGGGTGACGATGGCTATATAGTTAGATTTATGCATGAGTTTGGTTTAATGGTATCAACACAGGCTGTTGGAATGGCTTCCCACACCATTTCAGCACTCTGGGAGAGATGGTTCAATTACTGTGAGGGGAGCTGGAGGAGTCTGCCACGTGTGAGACACTAGACTGACAGCTATTTAAGAGGCAGCCTCGTAAAAGAGATTTGTGCCTATCTCAGCTGGTGCCGTACTGGTGCGAGCTTCAGTGGAGGGGTCTAACGGCTGCAGCACTGAGCCTCGTTCTCACTCCGACCCGCCTTAATCTGCAGGACTGAGTGCTCCCCGCCCGCATTATGGATCATTTAGTAAAGCCATAAAAGCTGAGGTGTTTTCACATGAAAAGTTATTTCTTCACTACTTCTACTGTGATTCATTCCTCTCTCATCCACATAAATGCCCCAGGAGAGAGAGGTGGGGATAGAGTGAGGGAGAGAATCGGGGGTGAGAGAGAATGAAGTATAAAGAGAAGAAAAATCTGCCATGTCATAAAAGCCAATGGCCTGCTTACATTGATCCTCTTTGAGATCTCTACAAGGATTTAGGGATATTTTTCATTCCTCCTGACTGAGATTGTAAATCTAATCTTTGTTAGCCTTTGAACTTAACTGATCATTATGTGTTTTGTAGACAATATTGTGGTCGACTTTAAATCTTAATCATTTTAGGCATAGTCTCTCAACAAACAATGACAAAAAATTGACTCTCAATCTAAGAGAAACATTAAGGTACAGAAACATATTGGTTTAAAAACCTTTATATTTGTTCAAGTCCACTTTAAAAAACAACTTTCAAGTATATGAAACCACATTTTTTTTACTAGATTTGTGTATACCCCCCCTCTAACTGCAAGTTTCAACTCCAGGTATCAACATTATTGTTTCAGACAAAGTGTATTCCTTGCACAATGTCAAAATGTATAATGTACAAGAAAGTGAACGGCCCATGCTTCTCTGCTTGATTGCATCTCTACAATAATGTAAGTGAGAGCCTTAATCAATTTCACAATTGCAAATCTATTGTGCTGCTGTTGTCAAACACATCTTCCATGCCTCCTCACAAACCGAATAACACATTCTCTTTCTCTCTCGCTCTCTGTCTTGCCGTTTCCCAATCCCCCACATATACACTGATTCATACACATGACCACACACTCACACACACACACACACACACATCAGCCAAAATCAATTATATCAAGCGCTGTGGTTGATCACATAATGGTGGATGTTACTGGTCATATACATAAAGGTGGTTGGC